AAGCTTCTGTAAAGAGCTTCCATTAGCTTCCCTACGCTAAGCCCTGCTGGCCAGGACCAGCTCGTTGGTCGGACTTAGCTCAGTGCAGGAGGTTCGGGGGGCATGGGAGGCAGTGAGGGGCACCAGGCAACCAAGGTAACCCAGGTAAGTTACAGTGGGAAGGCGCCAGGGCCATACTGACAACAAAACCACTACAGAAGGTTTCAGTGGTTATGGTGCTTGATGTGTTAATTTTAATGTATTTTATTTGTTTTTTTTTATTATTAGATGTACTTTTGTTGTTTTATTGGCCTTCCTTTAAAAATATATATATATATATAAATAAAGCCATAAAATGTAATCCATTGCCATGACTGACCCCATATTGCAGTACAATCCTCCTACCATAAAGTCTTCAATCCTGATTAACTTTATTCAGTCAGATGTTTCTCATAGGGAAGCATTAAAGGAAAACTATCGTAGGAGGAATACAAACGTGTATTCCTGACACTATAGCCGGAAAAACATGATTTAGGCAACTGGGCCCCATGTTAAGAGGAGTAAAAGGTGCTTAAACTCACCTTTCTTCCAGCGCCGTGCTGGTCTTCCCGTGGCTGTCTCCACCACCATAGGAAAGCATTGGGAGACTATTGCGCATGCACGGCAAAACACTGTGCTGTGCCAATCAACATCTCCTCATAGAGATTCATTAAATCAATGCCTTTCTATGGGGAGCATTCAGCATCTCCGTCTCAGTGAGTGCCACTAGAGGTGTTACTAAGCCTCTAAAAAGGCAGTTTTTACATTAAAACACTGCCGTACTATAGACATACTATAGACAGCAGAACCACTACATTAAGCTGTAGTTGTTCTGGTCACTATAGTGTCCCTTTAAGTACACATATTAATGTGGAGTGTTTGCTCCTGAGGTTCCCTTTTGCACATTATTGCACACTGAGATTTCACTTAGAAAGTACATGTGTAACGGAGAAATTCAATGAATGACATACAAGCAAACATACTGTATTTAGCGCTTTAGATTATCATTCAGCTGGTAGACATGCACACAAGCTATATGGATTCAAAAAGGTACAATGATGACATTACTTATCCCTATACTCAGCCTAGGGCTACCCAGGGGAAAGGCAAAACACAGATGTCCGACTGAAAATATTTCTAATGTGAATTCTACAATGCCACTTTAAATATGGGTTAAATCCCTTAAAAGAAGATAATTGAACCTTAATGTCGACAGGTACATAATTTAGGCAAAAACTCAATTGAAACACAATTTGCATACTGTCAGGAATAAGGTAATAAATCATATTTATTTGTGATTTTTTTTTTTTTGTGGTTGTACAGCATGACAGAACAGGTGAGATTTATCAACGTATCATCTACATTTTGACTCTTATTTTTTTGATCAATTTTTTTAAAGACCACAGAATACAAACTTGATCAAGTTCAATAGGGTAAATAGTGATTTGAAAAATAAAATAAAATAAATTAAAGGACCATTCCAGCACCATAACAACTTCATTTCCATGTAGTTGATATTGTGCCAGGAGATATCCATCCTATCTTCAGTGGTACTCCAGAGAAGTGAGGACAATGCCCATGCACTCTGCCTAGTTTCTTCCAGCAATGGTCCAAGGCTTTAATCAGGAAGCCTCAGACTGTGCGCTGCTAATCACAAGATCTTCATTCACAACACTGTGTGAAAAAGGGTACGTTCGTTGAGATAAAGCTTTTATGGTGCCCTGAGTGTCCCTTTAAAAACCTGTATTTTTTTTCATCTTTTGCATTTTGAATATATGCATTTTTGGTAACACAATAGTTTTACCAATCTTTCCTCTACTTTTTTCCCCCGACAGAAAAGCACTGTTTTACCTCTCTTTTTTTCACCACTCTAAATCTAGCACTCACACACTAAATATATAAAAATCTCACAAAAAAGTATGTTGCTAACTATACAAATATAGAAATCCCATTAGGATAATCAACTCACACTTTATACTTTTAAAGTGCTCAACGTGGGATGGTTTGTATTTTATTGAAGTACTCAATGTGGGATGGTTCGTATACTCTTAAAGTACTCAATGTGGGATGGTTTGTATACTCTTGAAGTACTCAACTTGGGATGGTTTAAAGTACTCAATGTAGGATGGTTCGTATACTCTTAAAGTACGCAACGTGGGATGGTTTGTATACTCTTAAAGTACTCAACGTGGGATGGTTTCGTATACTCTTGAAATACTCAACGTGGGATGGTACGTATACTCTTAAAGTACTCAACGTGGGATGTTACATATACTCTTAAAGTACTCAATGTGGGATGGATCGTATACTCTTGAAGTACTCAACGTGGGATGGTACGTATACTCTTGAAGTACTCAACGTGGGATTGTTCATATACTCTTTAAGTACTCAACATGGGATGGTTTGTATACTCTTGAAATACTCAACGTGGGATGGTTTGTATACACTTGAAATACTCAACGTGGGATGGTTCACATACTCTTCAAGTACTCAATGTGGGATGGTTCATATACTCTTAAAGTACTCAATATGGGATGGTTTTGGATACTCTTGAAATACTCAACATGGGATGGTACGTATACTCTTAAAGTACTCAATGTGGGATGGTACGTATACTCTTCAAGTACTCAACGTGGGATTGCTCATATACTCTTTAAGTACTCAAAGTGGGATAGTTTGTATACTCATGAAATACTCAACGTAGGATGGTTTGTATACTCTTGAAATACTCAACGTGGGATGGTTTGTATACTCTTAAAGTACTCAATGTTGGGTGGTTCATATACTCTTAAAGTACTCAACGTGGGATGGTTCGTATACTCTTAAAGTACTCAACGTGGGATGATTTGTATACTTTTGAAGTATTTAAAGTGGTATGGTTCGTACCTGCTGCGGCAAGCTATTGTAGCTGAGCTATAAATCATCTCAATGTGAATCTTTCATTCAATTAAAACCTTTTCCTATATTTCCAAACATTTAAAATAAAAAAAATTCAACAGAAGAACTGAACAGGAGAATATGATGGGTTTCGCGGTTACATCACCAAACAATGTAACAAAAATTGCAGTCACGAAAGAAGATAATAAAATGTAATATCACATAAATAGAACAGTACTTTCATTTAAATTATCATTCAACATGAAATGAAAAATAAAGAGACGGCAAATAGCACTCTCTGAAACAGATAAACTCTCTCCATAAACGGATTTTTTACACGTGTTTGCGCCTACTTCTTCAAGACGTGTTAAAAAAAAATAAAAAAAAAATACTGTTTTATGAAAAAAAAAACATATATATATTTATTAAAACTGATAGCAACGATGGTACAACCGATATCTGTTCATTCGCGAGCTCCAATCGCCCTACGTGAAGATTGACTTCTTGAGGATAAAACTACTTATCCCAGAATCCTCTGCAGCTGCAGGCAGAACCGCTAAGCAGTGCACTTTGCAGATATCTAACCTAGTTGCCTTAGTTTGTTTTTAACCTTTCTGAGACATATATATATATATATATATTATTTTTATTTTTTTATTGCATTACCTGTATATTGCATTACAAATGTGTATTGTATCAGATGTTATGCAGACAACCCCTTGACATTTTAAATCATGTTTTACAGCTTCCTCGTGTTAAATGTACTACTTATGTACTGAGAAACGGATGTGAAATGACAAAGTGCAATGCCTTACCTTATATAGGGGACAAAGGGCTCCACGTGTCCCTCCAGCACAGAGATAACATAGGAGATAATAAAAGCAGCAGAGGACCAGATGACCAGCAGAGATGGCAAAAAGGCCATTCCTGGCATGCAACAGAGACCCATCTGGGATCCTTCCCTGTAGCCAGCAGCAGCAGCCTGTCAGCACTGGAGGAAGTGGCTGTGGAACTCACAGAACACCAGATAAATGAAACACTTTAACTGAATATCACAAGTCTCTTCCTTCAGCTTTTTAATAACAAATCCTCTTTCACGTGACTCTCCTGTATGCAGTTTCATATTCACCTAAAACCCTTTTCTTCTTCTCCCCCCCATACACTTCCCCTTTTTTTTTCAGCAGCCTCACACAGTCACAGTTAGATTCAGCCACTGCTTTGACTATAAAGTTCTGGTACTGGCATTTTACTGGTCACGCCTTCTCTCATACTGAAACAGCAGAGGGAAGTTTCAGACTCTTGTGTTCCAGGACTTGAGATGATCCTAAAGTAAAAGATCACTGTAGAAATGATTTACCCTGCCCTGACTGACTTCTACTACATTTTCATAAACTCAGACTAGTCTCCTCTCTCCAGTCCTTGTTTGGTATATATTTTTATCACTTTATATCTTGTGTTTTGCCACTAGAAAAATCGAAATAGTAGACAAATATCTATTTTTTTCCCCATATGGTAAAGAAAACAAGCTTTTATTATAATTATAAACCATGAACTTGGCAATGACACTTGAGATACTACAAAACTATATTTCCATAGCAGCCATATTACATATGAGGCAACTTAAAGGGACACTGTAGGCACCCAGACCACTTCAGCTCATTGAAATGGTCTGGGTGCAATGTCCCATGTCCCTTAACCCTACAGTGGTAATTATTGCAGGGTTAACTCCCCCTCTAGTGGCTGTCTACTACTTTTAGTAGTACTGTGCCAAAACAAGATTTTGCAGTCCCTTGGCGTGCCGGTCCTATTTTTGTAAATTGAGGTGTGTATGTTGTCGTATTCTGCTTGTGTTATTTATGGTTGCTATAATTGCTTTGTAGCATTGTATTTGTGTGTATGTGGACTGTTATATTACACCAGCATTTCCCAATTGGTGTTCCGCCAAAAATGTAAAAAATAAAATGGCCGCGGGCAGCGAGGGAGTAGTGATCTCCCTGCTCAGCTCGCTCATGCACACAGCAGTGATGCTGGAGCCGGAATATGATGTCACTCCGGCTCCGGCATCACTAAGAGGTGCGCTGAGGTGGAGCTGAGCAGGGAGATCACTGCTCCCTTGCTGCCCGCATGCCAGCCTCTCAGCAGCCCCACCCGACCCCAGGGACTCCATGCCAGCAGTCCTAAAGGCATAATGTAATGAATGTGTAATGAATGTAGTGTGTGTGTTAGTGCAGTGAATGCAGAGTGTGTTAGTGTGTAGTGAATGCAGAGTGTGTGTAAATGTGTAGTGAATGCAGAGTGTGGGTTAATGTGTAGTGAATGCAGAGAGTGTGTTAGTGTGTAGCAGAAGCAGAGTGTGTGTTAGTGTAGTGAATGGAGAGTGTGTTAATGTGTAGTGGATGCAGTGAGCGTGTTAGTGTGTAGTGAATGCAGAGTGTGTGTTAGTGTAGTGAATGCAGAGAGTGTGTTAGTGTAGTGAATGCAGAGAGTGTGTTAATGTGTAGTGAATGCAGAGTGTGTGTCAGTGTAGTGAATGCAGAGTGTGTGTCAGTGAAGTGAATGCAGAGAGTATGTTAGTGTGTAGTGAATGCAGAGTGTGTGTTAGTGTAGTGAATGCAGAGTGTGTGTTGTACTAGTGTATGCAGAGTGTGTGTCAGGGTAGTGTATGCAGTGTGTGTTGTATTAGTGTATGCAGTGTGTGTGTTGTATTAGTGTATGCAGACTGTGTGTTGTATTAGTGTAGGCAGTGTGTGTGTTGTATTAGTGAATGCAGAGTGTGTGTTTTGTATTAGTGTATGCAGTGTGTGTAGTATTAGTGTATGCAGTGTGTGTTGTATTAGTGTATGCAGTGTGTGTGTTGTATTAGTGTATGCAGTGTGTGTGTTGTATTAATGTATGCAGTGTGTGTGTTGTATTAATGTATGCAGTGTGTGTTGTATTAGTGTATGCAGTGTGTGTTGTATTAGTTTATGCAGTGTGTGTTGTATTAGTGTATGCAGTGTGTGTGTTGTATTAGTGTATGCAGTGTGTGTTGTATTAGTGTATGCAGTGTGTGTGTAAATGTGCAATCTGGGAGGGGGGGGTGGAAGGGGCATTTTCACATTAATTTTATATTGAATTAATTAAATGTTATTCTATTCCCCCTTCCCTGCTTCTTACCTGTTTCCAGGGAGGGGGGAGATTCCATTCCCTGGTGGCCCGGTGGCATGGTGGGGCCTCCCGGCTCCCTGTTACTG